ATTTATCGCTTGTGCAATCATGTGGCAATAATGACGATATTTAAAAACCTTGAGCTATCCGAACTGCTCTTAGTACTCTGATGAAGGTTGCAGTTAGCAACCGAAAATTTAGAACTTTTATAGACTTTTTATTGTACATATTCTAGTATTTTAAAAAGAATTTTAGACCAGCTTCAACCCAACACATATATATATATATATATATATATATATATATATATATATATATATATATATATATATATATATATATATATATATATATATATATATATATTTAATGTGCTGCTATACTTAAGTTTCACGTATTACCGATCGTCAGACAGCGATAGATTATGGTGCACACGAGCTTTATATACTAAGCTACCGTGCTAATTACATAAGTTCAGTCTAAATATAACCTATTGGGACCTATGCAAGTGTTCAACTAACCTGATTTAAAATTTAAAACTTAGTAAATTAATTCAAAACCTACTTAAAGTCTATACGTATAGTTGTTAAAACCTCTCGAGCAAATAATTTATGTTATCTCGTTCTTATAATTTTGTATGTAAAATTTGTTTTCATGTCTACACTTGGAGATAAGTTCGTCTCGTGTGTTCAAGAGGCGTGCGTTTCGTCCTTTCAAGATGGCTAGCTTTTCACAGAGGCATAATCCGCATTTGTTGGATCCGTTGTTGTAAGCTTTTGCTGTGTCAATGCTTGACCAACAGATTTTGTGTTCTTTTCCTTCGTTCTTTAGACTCCACACATACTTTGACAGTGATGTTTTGTTGCTGTAATCGATGTTATTGAAAGAGCTCTTGTGTTGAGTAAAGCGTTTTTTGAATGTTCCCTCAGTTAGACCGATGTAATCTCTCCCTTGAGGGTCGTCATTCGTGGTTATATGGGCTTTATACACGACGTTTGTTACGAGACATTTGTTTTGAAGTGGACATTGTTCTTTTGTATTGCAATTGCAGTTCTCGTTCGTGTTCTTGTTTCGCGGGTTAAGTATCCTATATTGTTGTGGGATTTAATTATGTTAGCCATGTTCTGGGTGCAGGAATAGCTCACTTTTATAGTGTTTTTATTAAAAATTTTGTGTAGGCGATGGTCTTTTGGGAAGTGTTTTTCAACCAAGGATAAAAATTTGTTTCCGATGTTGGTCTTAAGGCATTTGTTAAAAGGCGGGTTGTACCAGATGGTTTTCCGTTTTCGGTTCCTTCTGTTGGTGTTTGTGCTAGTTTCATAGGACATTCGGTGGTTGAACCCGCTAGCGTGTAACGCTTCTTCATAGCAGGGTTTTGCATTGTTGAATGCTTCCTCGTTGTGGGATAGTTGTGAGATGCGGCGGTTGACAGCCTCCGGTAGTTGCCGAATGATTGGAGGTGGGTGGTTTGAATGGGCATTTATATAAAGTGGGCGGTCATTGGGTTTTATGTATGGGCAGAATGTATCTTTATCTAGGTTGAAAGTGATGTCGAGGAAATTCACGATCTTTAGGTTTGTTTTGATCGTTATCGACAGTCCTTCATCTTTGAATTGTTTCGTGATGTTTTTCTTAATTCTTTCGGCTTGTGGTCCCGAGATGTTTTTATATGCAGCCAGGCCATTGTCTCTATATAGCCCTATGTTTCCTTTAATCACGGTCTTCTCTGACAATTTGTTCAGCATATACAGGCCAACAAGCTCACATATTTCGGCCCCATCGTATGATCCCATTGTAACGTCAAACAAATTGTCACTCGCTCTCTTAGTCCATGCAGTGTCACCGTCGAAGAGGAGGGATTTTCTATAGCGTGCATTATAATGTTCATATCTTTTTGCGGTATGTCAATAAAATTCTTTGCAAACTCGATAGCTTTCTTTAGTAGGCTTTCAGTGATAGCACGGTAGCTTAGTATATAAAGCTCGTGTGCACCATAATCTATTGCTGTCTGACGATCGGTAATACGTGAAACTTAAGTAGCAGCGCATTAAATTTTTTAAAATTTTTCATTTTGAATATATATATATATATATATATATATATATATATATATATATATATATATATATATATATATATATATATGGCGCTCCGTTCCGGTCAAAATTATTTCAAGTCAACAAGTAATAGTCAAACATTATATCAACATGTTATAACTCTCAATATAATGTTGAAAATATCAAGATGAAGTTCAAACTCAAAAAAATAAAACGAAAGTTTAAAGCATATACTTGAAAAATGCAAAATACATTTCAAACCTCAAAGGATATATATGAAAATTAAACGCAAGTCCAAAGTTCTATTTATAAAGCGAAACTCCCAAATGATAAAAGTCAAAGCCGCGGCTCATAAAAATAAATCGAAAAGTCAAAAATATAAATCGAAAGGAAACGGAAGTAAGAACTAAAATACAGAGGAAGTCAGGAAACGGAAGTTAACCATAAACATTGCTGATTTATCTCGCCGTCTGGATGTTTACAAGAGAAATATAAATATTCTTGTACTAATCTATAGCCAATTCAGGGTGTTACTTGTAAGATACCACGAACAAGTAGATCAAGATCATTGTCCCTTATGGTAGAATGTGATTCCCTGTTCGTATTAGCTGAGACAAATGAACGTCGACGTCGACACGTCGTCGTATTGTACTCTCATATACTCAAAATTTCTTGCAATTTCTGCCCAGGAAAGTCCAACTTGAGAATTGGGAGTTTCGATTGCCTGTTGTCAGACGTCCAGTCTTTGTTTTCCCACACCAGAGATAGTTAATAGTTAACACTCCCACTGTTATACACTTGTCTGAACACTACCGTGATCCGGGGGCGGTACTCCTCCAACAAAGGGCGAAAGGAAAGTGCTTCGCATCTTTCCCTTTGACGACGAACAAAAACTTGAAGGATGCGCATATCTGACAAAAGTCGTTGTTCTAGAGGCTATTAAGCCCTGTGAGATTGAGAAGAATATTTATATTTCTCTTCTAAAATCCAGACGGCGAGAAAGATATTCGGCTGAATCAGCAATGTTTGTGGTTAACTTCCGTTTCCTGACTTCCTCTGTATTTTAGTTCTTACTTCCGCTTCCTTTCGATTTATATTTTTGATTTTTCGATTTATTTTTATGAGCCGCGGCTTTGACTTATCATTTGGGAGTTTCGCTTTATAAATAGAAGTTTGGACTTGCGTTTAATTTTCATATATATCCTTTGAGGTTTGAAATGTATTTTGCATTTTTCAAGTATATGCTTTAAACTTTCGTTTTATTTTTTTGAGTTTGAACTTCATCTTGATATTTTCAACATTATATTGAGAGTTATAACATGTTGATATGATGTTTGAATATTACTTATTGACTTGAAATAACTTTGACCGGAACGGAACGCCATATATACAGTGTGTATCAAAAAAAGTAAGACAATTTTGAAATTGCTCTCAATTCCACAATTCTGTTCATGAAATGTAATTTTTTATATGTATGGTCGCTTGAGTTCTTAAATTATGGAAAATATTAAAAAAAAATGAAAATAGTAAATTTTACTATCCAGGGGGGTGGTCAACTTTTGCTCTCCTAAAAGTGGCTTGCGCACGGAAATGACAAACGGTATTCTTTATTTGAGTTCATGTATGAAAAGTTCGCTATTTGTTGCATTTATGATAAAATTTCGGCAGGATTTTACCGAGTACAAATCCTCCGAAAAGTCTATGAAAACGTTACATTTTTCTATGTTGGTGATGTTCTTGCTTCATTATGAATTCATTTTTACTCCCATGAGAGTTCCGTGGAATTTCCATGGACGAATTTGTGCTTTCGAGTTGTTTGTGCTGAAACGCATTCTCTCGTATAATACCCCGTACACTTTGAAATGGCGATGCCAAAATTTACCCCGCAGCAGAGAGCTTTTATGGTATCAGAGTTCCTCCGTAGCAACAACATAAACTTGGTTCGCCAAAGTTTCACGAAAGAATATCCTCGAGAATATCCAGATGTATGATGCCCTTCACGTGCGAATACGTGATGGGCATCCATATCGTACATCTGGATATTCTTTCGTGAAACTTTGGCGAACCAAGTTTATGTTGTTGCTACGGAGGAATTACTCTGATACCATGCATAAAAGCTCTCTGCTGCGGGGTAAATTGTGGCATCGCCATTTCAAAGTGTACGGGGTATTATACGAGAGAATGCGTTTCAGCAGAAACAACTCGAAAGCACAAATTCCATGGAAATTCCACGGAACTCTCATGGGAGTAAAAATGAATTCATAATGAAGCAAGAACATCACCAACAGAGAAAAATGTAACGTTTTCATAGGCTTTTCGGAGGATTTGTACTCGGTAAAATCCTGCCGAAATTTTATCATAAATGCAACAAATAGCGAACTTTTCATATATGAACTCAAATAAAGAATACCGTTTGTCATTTCCGTGCGCAAGCCACTTTTAGGGGAGCAAAAGTTGATCACCCCCCTGGATAGCAAAATTTACTATTTTCAATTTTTTTTATATTCTCCATAATTTAAGAACTCAAGCAATCCATATATAGCAAAAATTACATTTCATGAACAGAATTGTGGAATTAAGAGCAATTTCAAAATTGTCTTACTTTTTTTGATACACCCTGTATAAATATATATATATATATATATATATATATATATATATATATATATATATATATATATATATATATATATATATATATATAAAAATGTTCTAGAGTGTGTATTATATAATTTCCATACCCAGCGCAAGCAGAAAGATGTTGTCTGCCGCGGCTGGGTCTTGAACCCGCGACCTTCGAATTACTAGATCGACGCTCTACCAACTGAGCTACACGGTCAGACGGATTTTAAGACTGGAAATTATGAAATATATACTGAATGTCATAAACGTACTCGTTTATATTAATTCAACATCGAACAATATCAAGATGTATTCTATATCTATTATTTCTATGAGTGGAACAGAGGGTGGCCAATTCCCCTTTAATTGGCAACAAGAAATAACACAAATTCAATGCAAGGTTATTAAGCGCATTATTTTATTTAACCACTGCACTACATTGTTCACAATGAAAATTATCAATACAGAAATTAGATTTTACTCATAGAAAAGCGTTTGAAAGTTTTATATCAGCGAAAACCCAAGATGAAGAATGAACTGTATTTTATTTCTTCTTTGCATTTAGGAATAATACATTTGCCCTTTTTAGTAGAATCCTCAGCGTCCTCCAAAGTTACAACAACTTCCCCTAAAGAAGAAGGAACTAAGTGAAATTTAACAATAGCTCCAAGGTTCGTACACCTTCATAATTATAGAAATCCAGAACTTTCAAGGACATTTTTTCTCGCTTTTCAGGAGAGTTTTTTCAGGGGTGGACTCATGTGAAGAGAGTCAGTCAACGCTCCGCAGAGAGTCGTGGGTTTTCTCCGGGTGCTTCGATTTCCTCCCCCAGGGAAATAAGACAGGATGGGTTAGAGTAATCATAGTTTGAAAAGTAATATCACAATTGTTGTAAAAACAGTCTAGCCTTAGTAGGTAATGAAAGTATATAGTGTAATACTCGATGTAGTCGGTCACTGGAAGCGCCGATGGGGAGCGAACTGAAAAATACATAATAACGATATTTTGTCTCTCAGTCTGCCTCTCAAAAGTACCTTTATTATAGGGTGCGCGAAAATGCTAGCGGGAGGAACTTTACGGGCCAAGTGTAAGTAGTATAGGAAGTAGCGGTTCTAGACCACTTTTCAAAAATCGAGTAAGGGCAGTTTTCTTTCACCAGGACCCTCTACAAGCAGCAATTTGCTCATTCTAGACGGCATCTGAGATTTTTGTCTAAAACTTAATTCAAAGCTAAATTATCAAAAAAATCGAATAAAATAGGTTTTTCTTCACCGGGACCCTCTACAAGCAGCAATTTGCTCATTCTAGACGGCATCTGAGGTTTTTGTCTCAAAATTAATTAATTCAAGCTAAATTATCGGTAAAAATACCCGTATTTTTGACCTAATCGTGAAGGTCATACAAGGTCATGAAGACCGCTGACCACTACATACTACAATTTTACTTGCAGGCTCAGTTTCCCTGCATATCAACGGAAACTTCTATTGTGAGGCCTATCTGACAACTTTTAACTTACTCCCATGTAAACACACATCATACTCATAAAACCTTCAGATACCTGTTTCAATCACACATAATCAGTCCCCACAAACCCCACAAGGACTAATTTTACTATTACACGGATATTCTAGTAAAACTCAATCATTCACATCACCATTCCTGCAATCAGACTGTGATATCCAGTGAACCCATCATAAGCTCACGTTAACGAAAACTTCTATTGTAAAGCCTATCTAACAACTTTTGACTTACCCCTATCTAAACGTAAGACGTGATCACAAAACTACCAGTTACCTGTTTCAATTACAGTTAATAGTTCCCAGTTACTCTCACAGAGGCTACTTTTATTACCAGATAAGAATTCCATTTGAGTGACAACTTTCATCGTCAGAATCACAGTGCTAACATCCAGAGAGAGCTTATGTGTAAACACTATAAATACGAGTAATTTTTTCAGCACTCTACGGAGCGGGACCATTTCTAAATTAATTGATAGATAAATTGTCATAAGAAATACGGGTAAATTCCTCAGTCATGGAAACCACCTTTACCCCCACACCAGAAGTTTAACTAAACGGAGTTTCAGGTAATAAAAATCAGCAGGCACAGTACGGTTTTCAGCCCCCACCGTACCCCGTCGCTGGTCCACTCGTAAAGCAGTCGTAACCCTTATACCTACCACGGAAATCACAGGCTTGTCCCCTTGAATGTGACCTCACACATCCCAACTTTGGGGTAGTAACTTTAGAGCAACCACCACATATTCTCCGTTTACAACGGTCGCGTATCTCATTAGACCCTGATATGAAACGGTTACCGCAGTTTCTGCAAGAGCTTCCATAGATATACCCATACTCTTCCCGCACTTTATCAGACACACCACCCGAGTGGTCAACCTTAATTCTAGCATCAGCAATTTTTTCATCCAGGTTCAGTTTATTAAGTTCATTTCTTTCCTTACACTTCCTCACCAACCATTCCCTGTAGTATTCACATCCAACAGGCTCCCAGCCGAGTTTAGGATATATTTTTCCATAGAGTACATCCTCCGCACGTAGAACGACATACTTTACCATTTAAATAAATTAGGCAGTATATCCCTCCAAAACAATTTCAAAGAGTTTATAAATAACTTAGAAAATTGACATGATATTACGTTGTCTAGAGTTGCTAATTCAGTAAATAATGTTCAATCTAAGACTATGCAAACTACTTCTAACATTCAAACCCTGCTCTTGCCAAACAGGAGTGGCTTTAAACTTGCCTCACTTAATATCACCAGTTTAGTCAAACATATTGATGAGCTTAGAATCTATCTATCAAATAATGTGATTGATGTACTGGCTATTAATGAGACAAGGCTTGACTCTACGGTTGGTGACAACGAAGTACATATACCTGGATACGAAATTGTTAGGCGAGATAGAGATTCCAATGGTAGATTTGGCGGTGGGGTTTGTTTTTATATTCGTAGCTGTATAAATTTTTCAGTTCGGCATGATCTATCTTTTGAGCAATTGGAAAACCTGTGTATTTCAGTTAATAAACCTAGAGCCAAGCCTTTTCTTATTACCACTTGGTACAGGCCTCCTAATTCGCCTGTAGCATTGTTTAATTATTTTGAAATTCTTCTAGGTATGCTCGATTCCGAAAATATCGTGTATTACCTCATGGGCGACTTCAACTGTGATTTGAGCTCTACAGTCTTAGATCATGATTCGAAGTCACTCATGGATATTGCCGATTTATATAATCTTTCTCAGCTTATAAATGAACCTACTCGAATCACAGACTCCTCCTCAACATTGTTAGATCATATCTTCACAAATACTCCTGACAAGGTTGTTTGCTCTGGTGTTTCTCATGTGAGTATAAGCGATCATAGTCTTATTTACGCCTTTCGCAAACTTTCTGTGGGTTCATCGACGGGGGTACATTCTTCAATAAACTACAGAAAGTTTAAAAACTTTGATTCTACTAAATTTCGTAATGATATTAGTCAACAGAGTTGGAACTATATCAATCAGTACAAAAACCCTAATGACATGTGGCATGCTTGGAAAGCCACATTCAATTCTGTCGCAGATAAGCACGCCCCAATTCGAGCTAAACGCGTTAAGGCTATTAAATCGCCTTGGATCACATCTCTTTTGAAAGATAAAATGCATAGGCGAGATGTCCTAAAAATTAAAGCAATTCGTTCCAACGATACTCAAGATTGGCTTTCTTTTAAAAAAATGCGTAATTTTGTTAATTCTGAAATCTTCTACGCAAAGCAAGCCTATTTCAAAAATTCTTTCAATGATAATAAAGACAATCCTAATAAGACCTGGAAGATCATTAATGAACTTACTTCTAAGAATAGGAAAAGCCCTCACATTGGCGAGGTTGATTTGAATGGCGTATTAATTAATGACCCTAGCAAAATTGCTGATGCGTTTAACGATCACTTTTCAAACATCGGACCAGACCTTGCAGATAAAATTAATCTTAATTATAGCAATCGGTCTTATCTTGATTATT